TAGAGTTTAACAAGTAGGAATTTGAGCCTTTTTCTATTGTTCTTGAACCTCGGTTCACCGTAAATAAAGGACTTTGTTTACCGCCACACTTTTGTCCTTAATGATTATAGAAAAATAAAGCTGAATCGTTTTTGAAAGTTGAAAGTTCACGTCCAACAATACCAATTATTGGAAAACCAATTAAATAAACTTCTTTATCCATTTTTTATAATCGATTTTGTCCATTTAAAAAAGTACTCAGTTACGAAATAATTTAAAGAAGAATGAATGTCGGTCAACAAATAATTGGACAAATAACACATAAAAAAGAATTTTAATTAGCAAATTAAGATACGATAGTATTAGAAATTTGAGAGTTAAATAAAAGCATCTGTGAAACCAAATAAAATTTAGAATACAAAAAATTAGGAAAATTTGACAAAATTTTTTGATAAACTTGATAGTTTCATCAAAGAATTGGAAAAAAAAGAGAAAATATTATAAATTATATTTTAAAGTTGAATAACTTCGAAACGCATCAGTTTATCGAAAACTTATAAGAGAGCTTTTTTGTAGAGCGTTCAATTTTATACAAGAAAATGATTCGGCCTAGCTTTTTTGATGAACCATTGAAGAGTTATAAAATTCTAAACTCAAAAAAACAAGCTTTCCCGTGTTAATCATACGGGAAGTTGAAATTTATCATACGAGAGTTCTTAATATTAATATTAAGGGCTGTGGCTTTCACAGGATTTTTTTTTTCATCATTTCCAACAATATTTTCGTTAAATTTAAGAAAAAAAAAATAGTCGATTTTTTTTGAATCAGCCTAATGTATATAATTAATTGCACGTGCACGCCGAAGAATAAATGATAAATTTATTGGCGCGATAAATGAAGTTAATCGAACTAATCAAACTAATTGATAAAGAAAAATTTAGTGAATTTAATTATGTTAATTTCATATGTGCTGGCCCGGAGTAAAAATATTGATTGAAAAGTATTAGGAATCAGTCACTCCATGTAAACTGTATATCTATATATACATGCAAAGAATTGAAAGTATTCAAAAGTATTCTATTGATTTGAGGATATATTAACAAGTAAAAACGACAATTCATATATATATATGGGGTATTCATATATATATATATATATATATATATATGGGGTATTCTATGCCAAATCGACCACTTTTGAACTCGACCCCTCTAGATTTAGCTGAAACTTTATCATTTTTTTCTACCCTTTGAAAAACATTTTTGAGAATTTTTTCAAATTTTTTTTGTCCAACCCAAAAAAAGTTCTGAATTTCCCAAAAAAAGTGGCTTTTTTATTTTCAAATAGCCATAACTTTTTTAGACATTGACCTTTAGGTACCTTTTTAACTTCCCGCTAAGAAAATTGAAAATTTTCAAAAATCGGGAAGTTATTGTTTTTACCCCGTTTTTCGAAAATCGAGTTTTCATCAGATCTCGACGTTTTGAGGTCCTAGGAAGCTTCCCTGACTATTCCCGCGATGGTGTCCAAGCGGCTGTATGTATGTGTGTGTGTATGTATGTAAACCTCTTATAACTTTTGAACGGCTTGGCCGATCGGTTCGAAATCGGTGGCGAAACAAAGAGTATCATAGCCATTAAATTTCGTGAAAATTTGAATCGATTCGGTTCGCTAGATTTTTAGAAATCTCAAAAACAAAATTTTCGAAAAATGGTTTTTTTGGAATAACTTTTAAACGGCTTTACCGATCGATTCCAAAAACTAATCAGCTCTCAACCTTGAAAAACCACTTCGATCACCGTTGGACCGGTCAAAATCGGTTGATTCGTTCGTGAGATGTCGAAAACGAAAAATTTCAAAAAAAATATTTTTTTTTTAAAATCTCTTAAATGGCTTCACCGATCACTTCCAAAAACTAATCAGCTCTTAACCTTGAAAAACCATGTCGATCACCGTTGGACCGATCAAAATTGGTTGATTCGTTCATGAGATATCGAAAACGAAAAATTTCAAAAAAAATATTTTTTCAAAAAATCTCTTAAATGGCTTCACCGATCACTTCCAAAAACTAATTAGCTCTTAAACTTGAAAAGATACGTCGATCGCTGTTGGACTGGTTAAACCACGTCAATTGCCACCAGTCCCATCAAAATCGGTTGATTCGTTCGAGAGTTCTTCCACATTTTTAACAAATATAAATAATGCTGTGAAGCGGGAAAGAATAGGAGTTACGGATAATTATTACGTGAAGCGTTCCAACATTCACGTAACAGGATAATTGGTAGGGAAGGATCGAAAACGAAAAATTTCGAAAAAAAGTGTTTTTTTCACATAACATCGAGATTTCTTTTTGGCTCATTTTTGACGAAATAGAATAATTATAAGAGCCCAAAAAATCACGTCGATCGTTACCAAGAACGTGAAAATTGGTTGATCGGTTCGTGAGTTATCGTTGTCGAAAAAATTCGGAAAAGTGAATTTTTCAAATTTCTCTAAGATTTTCGGTTCGATCAGTTTTTGTTCAAAAGTATATCATAGATTCTGACAAAGTGCGTGAAATACTGCCAACCACGTGAAAATTGATTCATTCATTTAAAAATTATTGCAGTTTAAAAATTCAAAAAATACTGTTTTATTAAACTTCTATCAGCCTTTTGAGCTCGAAGAGCTCAAAAGCGTACAAAAGCTATTTCTTTGAGCTCGGAGAGCTCGAAATAACACACAGATTGTATTTTTGAGCTCGGAGAGCTCAGAAACGTCATAAGTGCAATCTCAAGCGTTTAGGTATGGAATTGGCGGGAAGTTGCAGGGATGGCCTTTAGGGTCAACCGTTTTCCAGATTTTTTTTTTTTAATTTTGTTATTGAATGAACTTTTCGAAAAATTACACAAAAAAAATTAAATATGATCAATTCTATAAAATAATCGGTTTTTTTTAACAAAATCGTTATTTTTTCAAAGTTGGCCACTAGTTTTTTTTTATTTTTTTTTCTCAAAAAAAACTTCAATCAATTTGACAACTATTCCCGCTTATCCCGGGCAGGGCCGATTTTTTTTTATTCAATTAAAAAAAAAAAAATTTTCATTATTTCAGAAAATTTAACAATTTTTTTTTCATTGCGCAAAACTTGCGCCATTGCGCAGAATTTTTGACTGTATAATATCTGTAATACTCGATCAACTCAGTTGCAAAAATAACTACGTGAACTTAAACCCGCATTCAACACTAAACAAGAAAACGTCAGATTATCAAGCACTTATTTTTTCACTTATTTAATTTAATTACTGATTTGATTTGTTTATGAATGTTCTGTGATGTAAATCCCCTGGCGGTTTCAGCAGCACGGTGAAAGCACGGTCGCTTGACAGTTGTTTCACGGTCGTTTCACCGTATAAAGTTCGTTCTTACCGAGCGATCTATCAGTCAGCATCGGATACCGTTGTGAACGATGTCTACTATTAATTTATTGAATATATACGGTGTATACGCAAGTGAATCTACGATGTTATGACCGATGCTGTACGCTCAATATACTATCGAAATACGGTGATTTTACGCTACTGTCACGGACAATAAAATAAAAAAAAATACTTCGGACAGTCTAGACCGGGACTTGAACCCGGTTCAAATGGTCGCGCGCCCGAAACTTTACCAGTTGGGCTATCTGAGACAACGCACGGGGTATTCGATTCAGTGACATGATAAGGTGTCAAAACCAAGTCATTTTTTTCATTGTACAGATAAAAATAGCTTAAATAAAGTTATATTTTTTCCAGGACTTCAAAATAATAATCGTAATAAATGATTCAAATTTTTGATGATTACGAAATTCTTGATTTCGAAATTGCGGTGAAATTATTAACTGTATAAAAAAAGATCTGAAAAAGAAATTGCTAAAAATTTAATTGTTAAAAAATCTCAGAATAATTTTTCTTGATAACAAACAATTTTTCCGTAATTTCGTAATTAAAGTTTTCGTCTCTAAAAAAAAAAAAACTCAAATTTTTAATAATGGATTCAAATTTTTGAATTACGGTGAAAATATTTGACGTGCAGAAAATATGTTTATAGTTAAGTTGAAATTAAATTATAATTTATTAATTAATTATTGAATAAAATATCTCCCGATTAAAAAAACAATGTTGATTATTTAGATTATTTAGATTTATTAATGCCAAGGCACAGGCCAGATGGCAACTATAAAATATTACATAATAATATAAAAATATATAGCGATCATAATTTATAATTTATGGTTTGAGTATTTTTATGGAAATAAAATAAAATAAAATATTGTCAGCAATTTTTCTTCGTTGACAAGTAAAACATTCCTGACTTACCGACATTATACGCTCGTTTTACGGTCGTTTCACTTACAAACTACCGTGCAATGATAGACGATCGATCGATGATCTACGATTTTTACTTAGGTAAAAAAATCGAAGAAGTCAAGTAAAAATTTGGTTTTTCGAAGAGTGAAGTATGATAATTATACAGAATAAAAATCATAAAGTAACAGTGAAAAACTTTCACAATGATACTCGTCGTTCACTGTCAAATAACGGCCGTTCGACAGTCAAGTGACGGTCATTCGACGATCATTTGTCGACACTGTGAATTCACGGTACATTCACCGTCGTTTCACGATTATTTTACTGTGAACCCGAATCCGCCAGGGTCTATTTGCACTTAACATTTTCCCAGCAAGCTACCGACCCATTAGTCTTACAATAAACATTAGTAAAATTTATGAAAGACTCATCAAAATTCAACTTATGACTCACGCAGACGACAATAAAATTATACCTGATAACCAATTTGGTTTTCGGGCCCGACACTCTACGGTGCATGCAATTAATAAATTTTCATCCGATATTAATAAACACCTCCTGAATGGAAAATTAGTAGGGGCAGTGCTAATCGATCTTGAGAAAGCCTTTGATTCCATTTGGCTAAATGGTCTTATATATGTACTAATAACGCTTAATTTTCCAGTTAATCTGATTATGCTTATATATGACATGGTCCATGGCAAATCCTTCATTACATGGGACGGAATTAACCTGTCTACCTTAACATTTACTATCCTGGAAGGCCTACAGCAAGGAACTGTAACATCACCAATCCTTTTCATAATATACACCTCTTCAATTCTAAATATATTGGGACTAAATTCAGGTAATAATTCACACTCTGGAGTATACGCTGACGATGAAGTAGCTTACGTCGCAGATTCCAAGATACCAATTATCCAGGACAGACTCACCAAAATAGTAAACGAAAAATATAAAACCTATAAACTTTGGAATCTTAAAATGAATCCAGAAAAAAGTGTAACCATCTTATTTAGAAAAACAGTTAACGAAATAACACCACCTACAGTTCGTTTAATTAAGACTTTCCAGATCACGGTAACGGACAAAGATACAGGCGAGGAATTTCCTATTCCAAACCAAAAAGTCAAATACCTTGGAATAAATTTCGATTACCTGCTGCGTATGAATAAACATCATACAATCCAACTAAACAAAGCGAAGAAAGCATTCAGAGCAAACTCAAGGATCTTTTGTGACAGAAATATCGATTCCAAAGCCAAATTAATATGCTACCAGCTCTTAGTAAGACCAATAATGTCTTATGCTGCACCCATTTGGTGGAACATAGGACCATCTGTAATGGAGAAATACAGGAAATTTGAAAGATCGTGCTTAAAAAAATGTCTTGGAAGATATAGATCACCTGAATCCAATTACCTCAAATACCTGAGTAACAAAGAAATATATAATTTAGCAAACATACCAAGATTCGATAATTTCTGCCTAACGCTAACCAGAAATTATTTTAGTACAATCAATGAAATTGACAATAACATAATTAAAAATCTAAAAATTGAAAATATTGAACTTATAAAAAGAATGACAAAAAGTAATTATTCTCCTCCTGAGATCTTCACCAATCTTGACCGACAGGGATGTATGCAAGACGGGAACAACGTGCCAATAATTTATCACATCAGAAGACACTGCGCCAAGAAAGCAATTTTTACAGAGCTGGACAACATTCCAGCTGAATCCATTGTATACTCGAAGGCTCTCCCTGCTAGAGACAAGGACAGCCTGGAAAGGTTATCAGAAAAATATTGGTGGCTTCAGGGCGAAGCCAAACATTTGGACGAGATACGTAGAAGAGCCAGGCACAAACAACAACAAATTCAACGACGACAAAGAGACAGATGTCAAGCAAGACGACGACACAGACATCGTCAATAACCTTTTTCTGTAACACAGATTTTTTGTAAATACTGTATATATGTAAATATCCCTATACCATTCCCTTTACCCTTTCTCCTTCCCACCCTTACTTTAAGCCTCAAAAGGCCAGTAACTGTTGCAATTGGTTTTTCTCACATTTTTGATTTTTCACCAATGCTTAGCATATTATTATTTATTATTTAAATAGTTGAAAAACTTCAAATTGTTAAGTTTAATTAATATTATTAAGAAAATACTTCTACTTTCAGTTCCCGTATTTTGTAAAGAGCATCATATGATGACAATACAAAAATTAAAAATTATATTAGCGAATAAGTTATTATAAGGATATTATTACTTAAAAAATGTATAAGAGAATATTTATAAAATAAAGTCCTTTTTCAAAACCAAAAAAAAAAAAAGCACTTAACATTTTTTATCATGAAGGAAGTTAATCTTAATTACGGGTTATTTGAAAACGTGAGAAACCGCGAGATGCATAATTGCAAGTGCTACACTGGAAGTCTCTGGGACTATTACTCGCAGGAGTAACTTGTCGCGGAGATGTATTGTCGGAAATTGATTGTCTTGGTATAATTTATCGTGAAGACAAATTGTTTTAAGGATAAAGTATATTGGACTCAAAACACAGTGTACCCCTAAGAAATATAAGTAAAGAGAGTACACGGAAAAAAATTCTATGAAAATTTTCAATAAAACTATCGTAATGCTGGACTATACTTGTATCAACCGGCAACTTTCAAATATTTCAGATGAAAATTTCTAGTGCTGCCTCTGGATCTTTCCAATAGAAGTAACAAATTTTACAATAGTTCAATTAGAATGATTTTGAATTAGTGTGAGTGATAGCCGTGCACAGCGCTAGACTCCGAGTTTATGTAAATGTTGAAGGACATCAATAGTAGTTTACCTCGAATAGTGTAGAGGAAGAGTCTCTAGCTAACAACTAAGAGTTCTGGGTTCGATTCCCGGACGAAAATTCCGATTTGTATTTTCGGTTACTGCAAACTTACCAACAAGTCCAATTTCTTACTCTCTCCCTCCCTAAAATTTCATTTAAAAAAACCGACTGTCCATTTCTACGATAGTTGAATTGTAAAGTTTACTAACACGTCTTGTACAATTAGCTCTTAGAGTATTGGACGTTTTAAGTCTCTCCCTCGCCGTCTTGAAACCACAATGGATTCATGGTGGCTTCACCGTGGTAAAATCGTGGATCTATCATGGATCCACCGTGATTTCATCGTAGTTTTGTGCATTTTGCCATGATGGTTCCACTGAGGATTTATTGCGGATCCATCGTGTTTCAACCGTGGATCCACCATGGTTTCACCTCGGATTTGACGTGATTTTACTGTGGATCCATCGTGGTTTTACTGTAGGTTTTTCGTGGATCCTACCGTGGTTTCGCTGCGCTAACCGAAAAAAAAAAATCGGACAGTCCAGACTGGGACTCGATCCCGGATCATTTGGTTACACCCCAAAACCTCTCTACCAGTTAAACTATCCGAGACACTGTCCGTAACTACTCATTCAGTCACCTAATATCGTAACGCTTGACATCGATTTTGAACAAAATTGCTAATTAGTTTTCAGGAATTGATCAATTAAATAACGTAAAAGTTATCACTCTAAAACAATATTATAGATAATTTTATTTGTAAAGTTCTAAAAATAAACTTGGTAACATTAATTATTATTTATAGAATTCGAGAACAAAAGAATTCTTATGATTGCTGCATTATATTATAGGTTACTTAAGTCGATAAAAAAAATTGGTTCCCTGATTAAAAAAAATTATTGAAAAGAATTGGATTGACTAGAAAATCAATTCTTTTTAATACTTTTTTCTTTGTCTCAATATTTTTTTTAATCAGGGTTGTCTGTAAAATCAGTTCACGGACGATTGTTTTACGTGATAACGTCATAAAGAAACATTGATGAGAAATTGCATACTTTTATGAATTTAATTGAATTATTATCATTGAATGATCATTGTTTTGTATTTTAAAAATAAAAAATTTTAAATATTTAAAAATTATTTTAAGACAGAAAAAGTAGGTACTTATTGATACATTGTTAATTAAAAATTGATATATTAATTTGATAATTAATATAATTATTATTGTTGATAATTAATATTAATTATTATTGTTGATAATTAATATTAATTATGTTATTATTTTATTAATTTTCCGTTTATAATTATTATTAAATTATTTATTTATAATTAATGTTAATTGGAAGATCTTATGAGCCGGCCGAAGGCCGGCGAAGTTTGTTCTAAATTATCCGAGTGTCTCGCACGAGAGATTACGAAGGTATAGTATCACTACTTTCATGTCTAAGACCACAATTTTAGAGCAATTAAAAACAAAAGTACAGCGCCAATCGCCTATTGTGGCGTCGCCTCGTTACTATTTACTCATTTGTATAAAGCTGTTACATCTTTTATTTTATCCGAAAGGGCTGGGGAATTAGACAATGGTTGGGTGGGAATCTCTCGTGCTAAATACTCGGATAATTTAGATCAAACTTCACCGGCCTTCGGCCAGCTCGTAAGATCTTCCAATTATCCTTCGTGTCTCGCATTTCGAGATTACGAAGGTAGCTATTTAGAGCAACATTTTTATAGTTAAAATGTTTTATTAATAATGACAGCGTGAAATAAAAATTTGTTAAATTGAACGGTAGTTGTCTTAGACAACTTATTGACTTAGGGGTGAAATCACTCAAAATACTGGGTGATAACTGTTATCACCGCTTTTGCAAAATTGTTATTTTTGAAAATTATAGGTTTGTGATAAAACTTGAAGAAAACTATTGATTCTCGGGACCAACCACCTACTGTTTTGATCTCTTCAATAGGGACGCTTCTTCTATAGGCCTTAGAAGTTGACGCGTGGCGCGTGGAGTCCACTATGAATCTCCGATCAACCCCCAACTCTCCCAGCGTTGGGTTTATCTAACGGGCAATTGTTTCACTATTAACTGCCTTCTGAGAGATGAAAAGTGAATTGGTATTTCCTCGAAAATCTTTAGTCGCAGTCAAAAGGTTTTCTCAATGCACAGGTCCGGTTTTTCGAAGAAAAAGGGGGTCTTCAAAACCGGTTGTGGAGCACCTGGCCGAGATGTCTTTATTTTATCCGGGATAGGTATCTCAATCCCATCATCCAAAGTGACGATATTCGAGATTAAGATTAAAGCCAGAGTTTGGCAACGATGGGCCGTGCGCAGAGCTAAGAGAAACGCAAGTTTCTCCGTTAATTTTTTCAAAGACAATTCACTCAGCGAAAACCACGTTGCTAACTTTCGTAATACCGGATCCACATCCCATGTGGACTCGTCATTAGGATAACTTGGCTGAATTTTTGAGGATCCCTTTATTAATTGACTTATTAGACGGTTACTAGTTATATCCACCAGATATCTATGACAGCGCAGCTCTGGCAGAGTTTAGCGCACTATAGCCACTACCATTATTAAACTTATTTGACAAAAATTTTTAAATTTTTAACTTCCCGCTAAGAAAATCGAAGATTTTCAAAAATCGGGAAGTTATTGTTTTCACCCCGTTTTGCAAAAATCGAGTTTTCATCAGATCTCGACGTTTGAAGGTCACAGGAAGCTTCCATGACTATCCCCGCGAGGTTGTCACGGTGTCTGTATATATGTGCGTGTGCGTGCGTGCGTTCGTGTGTGTGTGTTGTTTTTTTTTTTTTAGGGGGGCCTGGATATGTGGCGACTCGACGCAGCGTCATACTAGAACTCGACGCTAACGCCTCTATCCACTAAACCCTAAACCCCTTTCCTCTTTCCTCTAATCCCTCGTGGGAACCGCCGTTAGGCATTACTTCGTGAGAGGAGGATATAGCTACTGCTCTTCTTTCTGGTAGCTAAGGTGTTATTTTACCTTTCTTCTAGTTGTTGTCATTTGCTCTTCTTCTTTCGATGGAACGCAAGTCTATGAGGACTTCTGTTACAAATGTGCTGATGGCGTTCCAGGAGGCTCTTGATGACAACATTGCTTCTACTATTGTCTCTGGTTGGATTTTCTTCTTTAGGATCATCTCCAGCTCATCTCGCTGTGGATAAAATCGTGGGCACTCAAAGAAAACGTGCCCCGCGTCTTCATTGATTCCTGGGCAGGACGGGCACTCCGCTGAATCATCATGCTTGAAGCGGTGAATATACGTCCGAAAACATCCATGTCCTGACAACATCTGCGTCAGATAGTAATTGACCTCGCCATGACTTCGGTTTAGCCAAACGTCGATCTTCGGTATGAGACGGTGTGTCCATCTTCCTGTTGTCGCGGCGTCCCACTGCGATTGCCATCGTGCGATGCTGTTCTGCCGTTCTTCAGCTCTGAGTTCCTCGGCACTTAGTGTGGTTGTCCTCTTTCGTTGGTAAAGGTTCCGTCTATCCTCAGCTAGGACTCTGAGCGGCAAAGTTCCGGAAATGACACACACTGCTTCCTCTGATATTGTTCGAAAGGCGCTGGCTACTCTTAGCGCGCTCAGTCGGTAAACTGGACATGCTTTCCTCCATGATTCTTGGATCTCAAGTGCGTCGGCCCAAATGGATATATCATATGTGAGGACCGATGTAACTACTGATGATAGCAATAACCTCCTTGTCTGCTTCGGGCCACCGATGTTAGGCATCAATCGTACTAGGTTAGCCACTACTGCTGATGCTTTGGCGGTCACGTGTTCAACTTGCTGTTTGAAGTTAAGTCAGGCATCGAGCATCACTCCCAGATATCGAATGAATGGTTGGAATGTGATTTCCTGGTCTCTGACGTTTAGATTGATCGTTTCCACCACTTTTCTGCTAGTGATAAGTACAGCCTCGGTCTTCTGTTTAGCCAGTTGTAGGTTTACTGTGTCCATCCACTGGTTAATTCGCTCAAAGGTGATAGCGTGTGTGTGTGTGTGTGTGTGTGTGTTTTTTCCCTTTAGGGGGGGGAATCCTTTTTACGGATTCAAGGCATA